CGGCCATAAGAAAGATTGAAGAGAATGGGAGACGGATGAGAGATTTAAGGAGGCGACGGCGGAAAGAGGAGAGAAAGGGGAGAGAAAAAGAGGGGGTGGTTCTGGAAAATAAACGTGTTTGGGTATGATAAAGAGACGCGGCTGTGGCTTTATATGGATGACAGACGAGTGGCGTGGAGCTGACTAGGGTGGTCGTCGGTCAGGAAAATTATAAATGAAGGTGAGAGAAAATTCCGGGTGAGTTCAATTTCTGGCGCGCGCGCCGTGTAAAGATGGAAAGTTTTATTTATTTATTAATTTCTTTTGGGATTAAGAAATAAAGTTTTTTGGAGTGGCGTTTGGAATTCCAACACTGAGACTAGTGCCCCCAGTCCCCACGAAATCCCCAACAGTAAATAGATAAAAGTTTATGGAATTTACATTTTTTTTTCTATTATATGGGTGTAAGTTTTTTCTTTCTTTTTAATTTATTGGGTAGGGGTTTAGTTTTTTCTTTCTTTTTAATTCATTGGGTAGGGGTTTGGATCAGTGACATGAGAAACAAGCGTCAATTATCGCTAAGTTAAAGACAACATATGATTTTGATAAACTTGAAACCCTATCTGCTCTCTTTGATTGCTATCTTAACACAAAATCAATGGAATCCCCCTTGTTTTTCTTATCCCAATTTCCAGATCAACGAAATAAATGAGGACTCTGTTCTGATATCATATTAAACATAATAAACTACTATTCAACACTAAAGCTTAATTGATGAGTTGGTAATTTTAATTCATTTATTGGATGTCTAACATATACACCTAATGGTGTAAAATTACCTAGTCACGTTTGGTGTTCTCTTAAAACAAATTATCGTTTAGGGCTTTTTTCTTATTTTAGGGTATAATTGGGTCGGTTCAAATTTGGCAAAGAGAATCTACTTCCAATTGGATGTGAAGAAAGACTAGTCTCATCGATAACGAGACTATAAGGACCCCAGTCAAAATGTCATGGTTCTTTATGGACACCATTATTGATGGATAGGCTTGCTGCATGCATAGAAGATTTGGTTGCATTTAGCATAACTTGGCAATAATAATTTTGGATCATGTATAAGCAAGTGTAGATGAGCATTAGATGATGTACGAATATTAAGTGGGACAATAATAGTATAACTAAAATGATTGTCTTTTCAAAGTTTATAAACTAAGATAGAAATTCTAGAAGTTGAAATAAAATTTAAAACTCCTCAACTAAATATAGGATTTAAATAAAATAAATTGATAGGTTGTATTTTATTTATTTATTTATTTTTTTTTTTTGAGAAACAATCAGATTCAAAATAAGAAATTAACCTATTTCTTTATTTTATCAGACAGGGGACGTTATTTCTAAAAATTAGTCTGTGTTACTTCCACAATTGAATAGATTTCTCATTTTGATTATTTGTGATTTTTCCCCTTTGCTACATTTTCTATAAATCAAAATCTTCATAACGTTTATCTTTATTTTATCCTCATTGAACACGTCTTACTTTAATTATTATATAGTTTGGAAACTATGGCTATTTTTTTTTCCATATATTAGTTGTGGTAAATATTTGTCCAAAAAGGAGGCCGTGGAGGGTCATTGTCAAAGACTCAGTAACAAACGCATGGAATTGAATGTTCGATATTACAGAATTATTCAACTCCCACTTTTTGAGAATATTAATGATGTTGACGTGGATGAATATTAAATGAAAAATATGAAAACTCACGAAATATATAAAAATCTAATTAATGAGTTGGCAAATAAAAATCCAAAATACATCATCATCATTATTATTAATATTCTTAATGTCAATACTTGTAATATTTATCTAGAAAATATAGATATTTCCAAAAAAATATAACATCAATCTCAAACCCTTTATTTTTTTAAAATATTAATTGATGAATAGATTGGATTGGGCCCTTTATGTGAATTTTATCTCCAAACTTGGTAGAAATAATTAGCCCATAATCGCTTTTTCCCTTCAAAATATAATTTTATAAACATCTATAAGACTATATGTAAGAGAAAAACAAATGGAAATTATAATTATTTTATACAAATTAATTATAAAGATAAAATTAAATTTTCATCAATTCAATTTACTTAATTATAATAACTAGTTTCGTTTCAAAAATATATATATATATATATATAATAACTAGTTAATTTGTTAACTAACAAAAAATTGTCTTTTTATAATAATCATCAATATAATTTATTTCATAATTAAACKTCTATTATTTTTGTCTCAAAAAGGAAAAACCATTCTTTCAAATCAACATTTTAAAACTAACATTAAAATTATATACACTATTTGCATTTTAAATTTATGAATTGTAATTTTAAAAAAGAAAAAAGAAATCGATGGTAGCTATACCAAGGCGTCAAATACCGGAACCACTCCAAAAAGGGATTCCGACTGCAACGCCGGCGCCGGTGCCGAAATTAATTTTCTCCGACGGCGCCTGGAGTTTTGCCGTTCTTGGAGTGGATTCAACAACGTCAGGCGCCGTAACTCTCACAGAAATATTAACAATTCCATTCCTATTACCTCTAACATCTCTCAACCGGTAGCTCAGAATATGCAGATAAGTTTCTGGCAAGGATCCGCCTAAAAAGTCCGATACCGGAACTCTCGTAGTTCCGACGATCTTGTTCCTGGAGAAATTTCCACAATGCACATCCACAGTGATGAAACTTACATTCGACGGCAAGTTGAACTCAATTTTGTGGTTCCAGAAAGGATAGCTCCCGCCTTCGCCGTCGATTAGCGTGCTGCCGATGTTCTGAGAGTCGATTCTGACGGTCGCGAACGAGTTCTTCTTTAACGATTTCCGATGACGGCTGAGATCTTCGGCGGAAATAACGGTGATTTGAAGAGTCCTCGATATCGACGCCATGGCGAAAAGGAAGCAGGAGGAACTGATTTGATTTGATTTTCGTGTTGAAGAAGCAAAAATTAGGGTTTCGATGAATGGAGGGAGAGGGGAAATTTTGGGAGGAAGAGAGAGCGAAAAGGCAGACGTTCGAGGATGAAGCCCCTGATTTAGTGACAAGTAAGTATTCAATATTACGCAAAACCACCTTTTAAATTGCCTTTTAAAAGGGAAAAAAAATTGCTTGAAAACAAATTAAATTACACATTTGTTTACAAAAAGATTAGGGTTAATATCTTTTTAAAATTTCAAACAAATTAAGCCATTTATAATTCTCTAAAAAAATAATATTTAAATTACATATTATATAATCTTCAAACAAATACTTTTTTTAGTACAACAAGTAGGATGAAGATATTCGAACTCATAACCTCGTGGGTAGAGACACGTGTCAATTACCGTCAAAACTTAGGTTGGCTTCAAACAAATCTTATCCTTTTAGTTTCTTCCATCATTTTTCTTTCTTCTTTTTTATCTATTAAGATTGGTGATAGGATGAAAAATTCATTACCAGTAGGTACATTATAATATCACACATATTGACAATAATTAATTAAGTATTTAGATAAAATTGAGATCTTGTCTAATGGTTAATGATAATTATTAAAATAATTTTGTACGCAAATTTAATTTGTGGACTAAATGGATGTTTAAAAGTATTTCAAATAAAATAAAATATTTGAAAGTCTCGATACTACAATAAATTTAAACATCTAGATTTTGATGTCATCCTTTTTTTTTATTTGAAATTAAATAATCCAACAAACAGCCTTAAGTCCTTAACCATATATTGCAATTACTTATTCAAATTTCAAGTTTTAATTTTGGCTATAGCTACCATTTTAAATCAAATATACTTTAAGGTAAAGAATAAAATATTTATTAACATGTCAATATATCTATAAAATATAAATCAACGAGTTTGATATCAATATGAAAAGTCAAAAAATAACAACAAAATTTTACCAAAATAAATATATGTTCATAAAAGGATAAGATTTATTGCTGGTTTATTAACTGAAATAATTTTATAAATTTATCCATTTTTAGAAATATCCTTCAATATCTATATTTTATTATTTATCAACATATCCATTAATATTATTATAAATTTGAGGCATTAATATTTTCAAAATCCTAAAATTTACACTAAATTTTTATACACTAGGATTACAGGGCCGTGGAAAGTTGTTTTAAATACTATTTTTGTTTAAACTTTTTTCGATCGTAATTTTAATATTTTTCACAAAAATTTATTGAAATATAGTATAAAATATGTATTAAAATATTTTGATGATCTATGAAATTTATGTTAAAATTTTATAAATATGTATCAAARTAGCTACCTTTTAAAAATATATGATTCAAAATTGACGTTTAGTAGAATATATAGACTAAAATGAACCAAATTTGAAAATACTTTTATCAAAGACAAAAATAAATCGTTTTAGACAGAAATAATAATAGGTAAAATCATTATTAAATATTTGATAATCAAAAAAGAAAAAYTACAAATTACAAAATTATAAAAAAGAAAAAAGATTGTGGAATATTTAATGGTATTAAAGATGAAACTTCTCAATTTTTTCCAAAATAATATTTGAATATAGAAAACAATATTAATAACAGGAAACCTTTGATTGACTCAAAGTCGTCGAGTCCTACGTGTCAATGACTTATTCAAATGGATAAGCTTCGCATGAAACATCTTTATCCTTGGTCTTCTTTTTACAAACAATCATAAATTAATCGTTTCTTAGAAAATGCATCCAAACAACTTGTTTTATGGAAACAAAGGAAAAAAAAATGAAATGGATTCTTAGCTTTTTAACCCAAAAAAAGAGAAAAAAAAAAACACCTTAACTAACACCAAATTTTAACAGACTAGAGGTTGAAAAATCTTGACTTACATATGTGGTTTGATACTTAATGTTCCTATTTGCTATTCTTTTATTATTTATGTTCCTCAACTTTTTCTTTTAGAAATTGAATATTTCATAATCAATCTCGTTACTTTATAAAGTATTCGTCCGTGGTTTCAAGTTTAAAAGAAGATTTTCTTCAACAAATTCAACACATTGGTAGATGTCTCAATTTCGTCTCCGTTTATATTAAACGTCACGTTTGATTGAGAATATTTCGACGAAACAAATTTCGTCATAGTTAATTTTCACAAAAATATAAATGGCGCATTGAAATTCTACCTTTAGCAAAAAAATCTGCTTATGAAATTTGGGAGATACTTTTACCGACAAAATTATAAATTCGTAAGTAAAAATAACTTTTCTCAACAAAATATGCTTTCATCGCAAGTTATATGATTACATAATTCAAATTTCTTTATCGAGACTTCTGCTTATTTCGTCAGAGGTTGATTTTGCTAACGAAATTAAATATTGTCGCATAGTAGCAACAAAATTTACTTTCATCCCGAATAATGGCGACAAAATTTGAATTTCATTGAAAATTATTTCGACAAAAATTAAAATTCTTGTATTGTATGGTGTGTACTATTTATTTGGTTTATGCACCCATCAGCCATACAAATAAATGTATCCTTTGAGAGATAAATATCAAAAAGACATACTCTAATTTCATAGGGTTCGAAAAAATATTTCATGCGTTATTCGTAATAATTAAAATATGCAATAAAATGTCAAAACAAGCATAGCTCAGTAGTAATTAACACGTATCTCAAATCAAGAGATTATGAGTAGTTCGATTCCCAACTCCCACAAATTGTATTATATATATATTTTGCAAGATAAGCGTGAAGCTCGAATTTTTTATACAATGAAACATAATTTTACATTCTAACTATGTATATAGATGATATACATTTTGGTCTTAGTACTATGAAACTCATTTTATTTTAGTTTATGTATTTTTAGACGTCGTGTACTTATTATAAATCTTAAAATTAGCATTATTAATTTGGAGTTGATTATTTTTATCTAACTCAGACAGAATAATAATAACACAGATAATTTTACACGATGAGAATCTATTTTTTAAATTTCAAAGTTAAAGATCGATAAAAACCCATTTTCTCTATGAAAATTAAACCATAAATTAACGTAATTAATTTTAAGATTATTTTTTGTTGGAGTTTTAGTATCATTATTTTTTAAAATCAATTTTTTTTGGACTTTAACCATTATTATCTTTTCTACTTTAAATAGCACATAAAATTGAATCGATAAACTTGACTCTAATTCAATTATAAGGTTAGACGGTTGTTTAACAAATTAGTTAAGAGGAAGATAAAAGACACAGAATGCTTACGTATGGAAGGATGTACGGTTTGTTTGGGCAAATTCTCTCATCATTTACAATTAAGCTTACTTTGAAGTTTAGGATGCCAACAATTTCCACATGGAACTTTCAAGAAAATTGTTTTATTTTTCCTTTTTCCAAAAAAAAAAAAAAAAAAACTAAAACAAACTATTGATTACTAATTACTTGTGGTTTATATCAAACCTCTATTTTGGTACAACAATAATGAATTTATTATACTCTATGGAATGAGATTTGTGGTACTAATCATGTCTTTATGCACGTACTTGGAAATATAGGTCGTTAAACCCACTATGACTCAATTGCATGGAGCAAATTACTACATTGTGGGAATGAGTTATATAGAAGGAACAAAGTGGTATATAAGATGCAATGGAGCTGGCCTGGAAACTATTGACTCGAATGGATTGTTACTATAGACGCTATCCAATGTCTGGCGGAGAAAGCTCGACGTTAGCGGCTTATGTAGTGGTCGGCCGACAGAAAGCGGGTGCATGGTTGTCGTCAGCTCGTGTCGTAAGGTGTTGGATTAAGTCCCGCAATGAGCGCAACCCTCGTGTTTAGTTGCCAACCGTTGAGGTTGGAACCCTGAGCAGACTGCCGGTGATAAGTCGGAGGAAGGTGCGGATGACGTCAAGTCATCATGCCCCTTATGCCCTGGGCGACACACGTGCTACAATGGTCGGGATAAAGGGTCGTGATCCCGCGAGGGTGAGCTAACTCCAGGCCCCTTCAAAAGGAAATGCAGGCTGGGTGAAGCTCGGTAGAGAGTTCGAGTCCTCTTCAAGGCATAATGTTGAGACGACCCTTTTTTTTTTACCGCAACACGAAATCATGAAGAAGCTGGAATAACTCAGAAAGAGAGTGGCACCTAGCTGTTGAGAGCGTCTGTTGTCTTTGTAGAGAACAATACGATCTTGGACTGACCCCCTTCGCATGACCTATAAAGAAAAATAAGTGCGTGCTACCGTAAGGCCTCTAAACTCCTTCCTCACGACACTGTTACTTGCCCACGGAGGCGGGGGAAAGAGCGATTGCAAATCTCACAAATCAATTCAAGAGTAAACTGAGATTTCTCCCTTAGGATCTTTTTGGAGATCTTTGGTGTTGGGTTTGTCTAGCCCACAGTTGATGGAGTTGTGGAGCCACGGGGACCGTTGGACTGGGTCGTTTCATTTGATCGGAGAGGAAGAAAGGAATCTCCCGACCATTTGGCCGAGTCCTGCTCGGAGCCGAACCTTGGTCGGCGCATGTGGCTTGGACCCTTTAACCTTCGTTTGACCATTCTGTTCAATTGAGCCTCTTTGATTGACCTAGGCCCATTCGACCGAATCTCACCTCATAAGAGGTAAAAAAACCCTAGAATGCATCTCTTGAGGCTTTCTTACCATGACCAATTTTACTGTTAGTATTAGCTACTCAATGGTAGGTCTACATGCATAGCAAATATTAATTAGATAGGGATGAAAAATAAATTTTTAGTCAATGTTATATTATATTATTAGACAAAAGGGAAAAATGACAAAAGAAAACAAACAAGAAAATGATAGTGAAAAGATAGCTGGGGCTCTTGGACAATAATAGGGAGGAGAGAAAGTAAGCATTTCAAGACCGGGTTGAGATGAGAGAGATTTGTATTTAAAAGGTACAAATTATAATTGCCAAAAAATTTTAAATAAAAAGACAAAATGGGGAGAAACAATTTCTTCCTTGTATATAATATAAATCACGTCTAAAAAATATATTTTATGTACTTTCATATTTTAAAATTGATTATAATTTCTTATCCATAACAATTAAAATATGCATTGGTTTTTTTTTAACATAATTAAATATTATCTCTTTTTTTTTAATACATGTAGGGGATCCAACTTATAAGATTGGAAGTATATGTTAATTACCACTGAGCTATGTTCTCTTTGATAATTTATCTCTTAACTTTGACTATACAAACTCAACCTATAAATTAATTATTGAGAGAATATATTAACTACTATAAAGTTGGGTTAGGGGTTAAGCCAATAAATAAAGTAAAGATATTTTCATTAGCCATATCATATTTTTGTTAAATTTATTTAAAAAAGTTATCGGTAATTTAAGGAGAGTACATAGATCTTTTAACCTATATATTATTGAAATAAAAAAGAACGCGAAAGTCGAAATATTATGAAATTAAAACAGAATCCAGCTGGACCGGTTCGGGTCGGGTCTATTTTAACATAACAAAACCGAGATCCTTTATACCCGTCGTTCTCGTTCCCTCGACCTCCCTCCCTCTCCCTGTCGCTCTCTCTCTCCCTCTCGGCGGCGATCCGCTTTCTTTCCACCCCTCTCTTTTATTTGCCCTTTTCACCACAAATTTATAGAGAAACCTAGGCGCCAATAAGGAGTTACTTATGTTCAATATATACTTACAAACTTCGAACTCTTTCACTGAGCGCTATTTTCATTTCAGGTACCCTGTTTTTATCCGTTACATCTGCAACATTGTGAATTATTCGTCAAATCTTGTGTCCAATCAGCTTCTAAGTGAGTTATCTAAAGATGGTCGAGTTGATGATGCTCGTAAGTTGTTTGATAAAATGCCTCACCGGGACAAGTATTCATGGAATATTATGATTTCTGCTTATGCTAATAAAGGAAATTTAGTTGAAGCTCGTAAGCTTTTCCATGAAACTCCCACTAAAAATTCTATCACTTGGTCATCCCTCGTATCTGGTTATTGCCGACATGGGTGTGAAGTTGAAGGCCTGAGGCTGTTCAGCCAAATGTGGAGCAAGGGGCAGAAGCCGAGTCAATACACATTGGGCAGTGTTTTAAGAGCATGTTCAACCATGGGTTTGCTTCATGGTGGCAAAATGATTCATTGCTATGTAATAAAGAACCAACTAGAAGCTAATATCTTTGTTGCCACTGGTCTTGTTGACATGTATTCCAAGTGTAAGTGTCTTCTGGAAGCCGAATACCTCTTTTTATCGTTGCCTGATCGGAGAAACTATGTTCTATGGACTGCTATGCTCACTGGTTATGCGCAAAATGGTGATAGTTTGAAGGCAATTCAGTGTTTTAAGGAGATGAGAATACTAGGAATAGATTCTAACCAATTCACATTTCCCAGCATATTGACAGCATGTGCAGCAATTTCAGCCTATACTTTTGGTCTGCAGGTACATGGATGTATTGTTTGGAGTGGTTTTGGTGCTAATGTATTTGTTCAAAGTGCATTAGTTGATATGTATGCTAAATGTGGAGACTTGAATAGTGCGAGAATGGTCCTAGATATCATGGAAATTGACGATGTTGTGTGCTGGAATTCAATGATTGTTGGGTGTGTGGCACAGGGATATACAGAGGAAGCTCTAGTTTTGTTCCACAAGATGCATGATCGAGATATGAGAATTGATGATTTCACATTTCCGTCTATTTTGAATTCTTTGGCTTCTTGTGGGGACCTGAAAAAAGGAGAATCTGTTCATTCTCTTATTATTAAAACTGGATTTGACGCTTGCAGAACTGTGAGCAATGCTCTTGTTGACATGTATTCTAAACAAGGAAACTTGGGTTGTGCATTTGAGGTTTTCAATAAGATACCAGACAAGGATGTAATATCTTGGACCTCCCTGGTCACGGGATATGTTCACAATGGTTTCCATGAAAAAGCCCTCAAGTTATTTTGTGACATGAGAATTGCAGGGGTTGCTCTGGACCAATTCGTAGTGGCCTGTGTTTTTAGTGCTTGTGCTGAGCTGACTGTTATAGAGTTTGGTCGACAAGTTCATGCAGATTTTATCAAAACCAGCGTTGGATCATTGTTATCTGCAGAGAATTCTCTCGTAACAATGTATGCCAAATGTGGATGTTTAGAAGATGCAACTAGAGTCTTTGATTCAATGCTAAATCGGAACGTCATATCATGGACTGCCATAATAGTTGGTTATGCGCAGAATGGGAGAGGGAAGGACTCTCTTCATTTCTATGATCAGATGATAATTAATGGCATAAAGCCAGACCCTGTTACTTTTATTGGGTTGTTATTTGCTTGTAGCCATGCAGGTCTTGTGGAAACTGGCCGCTCTTACTTTGACTCAATGGAAAAAGTTTATGGAATAAAGCCAGCTCCTGATCACTATGCTTGCATGATTGATCTATTGGGACGTGCTGGAAAACTCAGCGAGGCGGAGGATTTATTAAATCAAATGGAGGTTGAACCCGATGCAACCTTATGGAAGTCATTACTTTCTGCATGTAGGGTTCATGGGAACTTAGAACTTGGAGAAAGGGCAGGGAGAAACCTCATTAAGTTGGAACCCTTGAATTCGCTGCCTTATGTTTTATTGTCCAATATGTTCTCTGTGGCTGGTAGATGGGAAGATGTAGCACAAATTCGAAAATTGATGAAAACAATGGGTATCAACAAGGAGCCTGGATGTAGTTGGATTGAAATGAAGAGCCAAGTGCATACTTTTATATCTGAAGATAGAAGCCACCCTATGACGGTGGAAATATATTCTAAGATTGATGAAATGATGATCTTAATAAAGGAAGCTGGGTACGTTCCAGATATGAACTTCGCATTACGTGACATGGATGAAGAGGGTAAGGAACGTAGTCTAGCATTCCACAGCGAAAAGTTGGCTATTGCATTTGGACTTCTCACAGTCCCAAAAGGAGCACCCATTCGAATTTTCAAAAATCTCAGGGTATGTGGGGATTGCCACTCAGCAATGAAATATATATCTGGTGTTTTCAGCAGGCATATTATTTTGAGAGATTTAAATTGTTTCCATCACTTCAAAGAGGGAAAATGTTCCTGTGGAGACTATTGGTAGAGTGTTCAGCTTCTTGATTTATTGTATCTTTGAGACTCTTCCTTGAGGAAAGAAAACTACCGATTCCTTGTGGATACCTCACAAAGTTGTCCTATTGGCACAAATCAAGCAAGATAAGAACAGTGCACGTAATATCCCCGATCATGACGAGAATTAAATCCTCTGTATTGTAAAAAAAAAGAGGTGTTTCTGGACTCTCTTCCTTCTCTACTAGATGGAGGAGATACAAATTCCATTCAAGTGGATAGGGCATGACTTGACCATGTCTCCCTCATTGTTCTAAATTGAAAATTCTACCAGATAGAAGAAGCTTTTGAGAGTCAGAAATAGAACCTGACCTCCAGCCATCCGGGCCGCTCTACGTCCCAGGAAAAACCTGGACTCCCAAACAGGTAATAACATAATAATATGAAGGTCAATGAATAATTCCAAATTGTCTGTAGAAGAGCTCAGTTTATTTGGTCATGGCATGTGGAATATTTGGCACCGTTATTAGTAATCATGTCAATGTCGTATACGTAAAAGGGAACGTATAACGTGGTTGTCCTCTCCTGTCCTTGTCTGTAAAATTTAATCAAACACTACCAACTTTTTTAAAAATACTTTCAGTCCTCCATAAACACTTCAAAACGCCAAACACACACCTACAATATAGATAGTATTCGTGACTATTTTACTGTAACATGCAGGTTCTAAATGAGGACTTTGTTAAATGCCATGTGAGTTCACATATGCTGTCATTGCTCAAAAGTATTGAGTTGTCAGATTCAAAATCACAACCTGAAAAAATAAGTACATCTACTGGATATGCTTCTTAACTGTTCATATTTGCTTATTTTATGTCAGAATATGCCCACTGCAGTAACCATTTTCTGTAATCTTATTGTTATGAAATGGTTCTCAAGTTTTTATTTTGTTCATAAAGTGTTTGTCATGTTTGAATACATTGTTTGGGAAACTCAATTATGTTTTAGTTTATGATCCAGATATTGTATCCATTTGAAGTGAACTATTTTGTTCTAAATTACCTTGCTTGAATTTCTTGTCTACAGGTAGTCTCCAACATACCATTCAATATAAGTACAGATGTAATTAAACAACTTCTTCCGATGGGAGGCATTTTACCCGAAGTTGTTCTTTTACTCCAGGTAATATTGCCTACCTTTGAAGAACAGGTTTCAAATATAATATATATATATATATATTTTATAACTAAGAGTTGGAGTTTTGCTTCCTTGTACCCAGGGTGCTCGTGTTCGCCCAAGGCCCAAATTCGAGAGACATCAATGATTTTTTATATTAAGCTCATCGAAAAGTTCGAACTTGAGACCTCTAAACCAATATGATCAAGAGACCCCAAGTCCTTACCAACTGGGAGGAGAGGACTCTACGCTTACTCATTTCTGTGATATCATCAATCATTTTTGTGACTACTGCTAATTTGTTTTAACTATCGGGAGGAGACGGCTCTTCTCTTTGCTTAGTGGAATCACCTCCGAGGACATCTGAATATCGACTCATCAATATTTTTGTTAATTTCTATTATGGTATTCCACAAAGTTGTAGTATTTCCAAATTGAAAAGTTTTTGTTTTTTCACATGTGCTATAGATGTTTATAGTCGCCTTACAATGATTATAGATAATTGTTGACAAAGCATGTCGTTATATATAATACAACTATATTCGAACTTCATATTATCATACTTCACACTTTTAAAGTTAAATTAGTGACCTACATCAGGTTTTTTTTTTTTTTGATATTCGTGAGTGTCCAGGTTAGTTTACGCTCACATCAACTAATCTCATCTAGTAGTCGTCTGATCCTACAATATTTGATTTTTTCTTTTGTATCATTCTCTCTTTTGACTTGCCTTGATTTCTATAATGTTGTAGGTTAACTCATCATTCAATGGCAAACATAAAACGTTACGAAAATCACTTCAAAACATATACACATTCTCGAGAGAGAGCTTTGGAAGATTCTAGCCTTTCGGCTACTGTAAGGCATATATATCTCTACTGAACCAATCTTTTGGTTTCCTCAAAATCTACTAATTGGTTTTGTTAGTGTTATATTCAATTTGTTTGTAGTCAAAATAATGAGCGAATAAAGAACCATACCAATTGATGGAAGTACAGGGACAAAAATAATATATTTATATATATATATATATTTTTTTTTTCCTTTCTATTTGTGCTTTTTCTTAGGTCATAGATTACTATCATCCCTTGCAACGTCACAACTTGACCAATTCATAACCACCCATTTGATTTAATGGACTTCTGTTGACTTGGGCTTATTGTGTCTCATGTGCCAATAATTTTTCTTTTTTTCCTTTTTTTTTTTTAATATCCAATTTCTCTCTTTTTTAAGATAAAATCCAAAAGCTAAGAATACAAAATTCTTAGATAGCTGGATAGCTTGACTTGTTACGAATATGTGACTTCTTGGCACTACCCACTTAAAGAGTTTAACCAAGTCAATTCATTTTTAGGCTAAATCTATGTTGTGGTCTCTAATATTTGGGTTCTATTCTCAATTTAGGTAGAAACGTTTTTTTATTTCATTAAATTTTAAAGAATTTGACAAAAATTTCCTACTTTGTTTTCCATCTTAATGCTTCATCTAAATTTTAGTAACTCATTAAGTATCATGTTATAAGTTTATCATCGACTTATTGTCGTATTCACCAATACACCAATACAGAGGATATGATAGAAAATTATCCAAAAATAAAGAATTAAATTGATATTTTTAGACAGTAGATACCCTCCAACATTAGGGACAGAAACATATAATTTTTTAATAGATGGAATGAATGTTAAATCAATACTGAGCACCATTGTATTTGTTTTGTCGTGTGTCGCATTCTCATTGGTTGATAATAGTACACACTCAACGTTATCTGGTTGCTTATACCTTCTTGCTTTAACTTTATTTTTGGTTCATTTTTACGATTCAGAAATAGGTACATAGATCAACTAAAATCATAGTTATAAAGTAAGTTTATTAACCTTGTAACATTTGACAAGATTGAAGTTTGTATTTTTTTTCCCCCTCAAATTCTTCGACCTCAATTCTCATGGTCAAATTTGTCCATATTTATGTACTATCGACTTTAATATGTATACATATATATATATAGTATATATTTTAACTCACGACTTTTTTATCGGAGATAAATATCAACTAGTTGAGTTTAGCTCGACTTTAATCTTTAATTTTTTTTGTTTTACTTGAAATAGTATTTAAGTTATATTTAATTAGAGAAAATCACGTTCTCCAGATAAAATAATGATAAATAAAAAATTAAGGAAAGGCACGATTTAATTGGTCTTCATTAATAACTAAACTCATTCATGTAAGTATGCGGTGGTTGGAATAGTGAATATAAATAAAGAAGGAACAATATGGATTGTCTAAGCAGATATTATTATTTATTACCATTTTTTTTAAAAACTCGTATTCTATTTGCCTATTAAAGAATATAATCTCGCCATCCAACCATTTGTATTCTTTTAAAATATGCACATACAAAAAGCATAATAAAAGACTTTTTTTTTTTTTTTTTCATGAAACCTTGCATTGTCTAATTTTTAAATATTGTATCTTGTTTTAATTTTGCGTAGTGTGAAATTTGAAAATAGGTTTAATTTGAGTATAGCTAGATAAGGTTTTATTTCCACATTTTTCTATTTTTTATTTCAATTTGGTTTTATGTATATTCAATCGTTTGATGATTTTTTTTTTAATACAAAAAGGGATCGAAGATGATTTGATGTCTGAATAACATAAATTTAGCAAAAAAAAAAGAAACAAATAAATTATGATAGGTTTTAATTTCAATTAATACAATGTGTGATATATCATTTATACAAAATATTATATCATAGAATTCATCGGCTACGTTCTCCTTACAAATAACTTGTTACATTTGATAGTATTTAAAGACTTATTTGATGACATTATTGTCATGTGTTTCCAACTTTCTATTTAAATATGTTTGTCAATTATTTAATGTTTATGGTCTATTTTTTATTAACAAAAAAATAAGATTTTGTTTTGCAAGTATTTACGACAAGAGAATTTAAACATAAATATATTCATCATAGATATAGCCTAATTAAGTCAATATGTTTAACTCAGTGGTAATTAATATATTTCTGTGATCAAGAGGTCTTGAATCTACGGATCATTTTATATCTTTAAATTTAAATGTCTTCAATCATATTAATTGACTAATTAATTATTCTACAAAATAATTGATGAATTGATTTAATTATAATTTATAACAATTTCTTGAACAACTAATCACCACTTTCGTTATGAAGTCGGTCATCCCTTCACACGTCACGATGCTGACGTCGGCCCCGTAAACTGTTCTTCTTTCCCCAAAATTTCCAATCGGAAATCGCCTATAAAGTTCCTCCAATTTCCCTCCGACGACACAAAATGTCGCGGACTGTTGAGATCACCGTAATGTCAGCGGAAGACTTACGAATCGACAGGAAGCCAGTGAAGAAGGCGACATTCGCCACCGTGAAATTCGATCGCGGCGGAGGAACGGAAATTGACGAACAAGGCGGCAGATGTCTGGTGTTGGACATGCCGGAGGATGCAATGTTCTTGACGATCGAGGTGCATTGCGGATCTTCTTCGAAGAACAGGATCGTCGGAACTGTGAATGTTCCGGTGTTGGATTTTCTCGGACGATTCAAGCCGGAAAATTATTTGCATCTACTGAGTTATAGGTTGAGAGATGGAAACGGTGAACGGAATGGAATCATTAACATTTCGCTGAGGGTTAAGGTACCGGAATCGGAATCGGCGATAACTTCACAAGCAATAGTTGGAGTTCCGGTGGCGGAGACGGCGAGATTCGGTCGGAATTGTGGCGGCGGCGTCGTGATCGGAGTTCCTCTTTGGAATGCTTACTCTTATAAATCCTGATGGAATTAATTTTCAGATGAAATTGAATTCAAGGAATTCCTCGTGGAATTAAAAAGGCGCCGTAAGCCCAATTTTTAAAAGTTGTTTTCTTTATCCTAAAACAAAAAAGAGTAAAAAAAAGTAACTTTTGTTTATTTATCCTTTTTATCACAATTTTACACTATAATAATTTTTTTAAATTGTGATGTATTTACAGTTTTGTATCAATCATTTGTGTCAAAATTTTGCATATAGAAACTAAAATTATCCTTTTTCAAAAATACATAAACCAAGATAGATGTTTTCAAAATACACAAATTAAAATGAACAAAAGTTAAAAATACAAATAACAGATATAAATAAAAAAATTAAAATGAACTCAAATTTAAAGTAGATGGACTAAATTAGTATTTATGCTAATTTATAAATTACATATCCCACCTTTGAATTATGCACTGGGTTAAAAGGTAAATTTATTGGACGAATTCCTAGAAAGAAACCGTAATTCATTTTAGCATCGGACACTGTTTACTGTAAAGATACAAATTAAATTAGTTAAACATATTTTTTTTGTTTCATATATCATCAGTCATAACACCTGTAATTGTACAATTTGTTTGACATAACTCAAATTTATTTTCGATAAAAAAATTGCAAGTTTGAATTTCCATTCCACAGCTTTAACTTGTCTTATTTTACATTAAACAACAAAACTTTCAGGAAATTAGTGATATAGTCTAATTCTTGTAACTACGTAAATTTTGAAGATTTAATTATTAGACAAAAAGAAAAAGAAAAAAAGTAAAAAGTAAAACACGTCTGACATCAGCTGAAATTTGGGCCTTGTGATTGGACTCGGGCGCTCAGAGATAGTGGGCCTATTTCCAAATGGGCCCAACTGAAACGACGACGTCTAAAGGAATACGATCAATCATAGGAGGCAGTCAAACGACGTCGCTCTGCGACATTTCTGAAAGTAGTAGTTTATCCATCTGGTTTCCAAAACATCTCGTTATCGGAGCTCCAAAAAAATGGCCGCGGCCTCGCTCTCGCTCTCTCAACTCTCCTTTCTCTCAAATTCTACGTCTCGAAGCTTAATCGCTCCTTCTCTCCAGTCCTCTCCTCACGGACAAATCCGCTGCCGTTCTCGTTTCCGATGCTCCGCCGGTCAGACGGGATTCTTCACTCGGCTTGGCAGGCTGCTCAAGGAGAAGGCCAAAAGTGACGTTGAGAAGATCTTCTCTGGCTTCTCAAAGACTCGAGATAACCTTGCTGTCATTGATGAGCTTCTTCTGTACTGGAACCTCGCGGAGACCGATAGAGTTCTCGACGAACTCGAAGAGGTTGGCCTTTTTTTTTTTTTAGTTCTTCTTTTGTTCCAGCAAGGATAACAGTCAGTGTCCAAAATTATTGCATTGTTTATGCTCAAATCTGTCCTAGTTAATCCACAACTTTCTTTGAGCTTTCTTTTCCAGAATGTGGATTGAAACGAGGTGGAATTGGATTTTAGTTTACGTTTCATGAACTGTGCTTTGGTCTTGGTTTCCGCGCTTGAAAAACTACAGAATGGAGAAATTCTGTGACTCGAATTTTTTGTCTTCTGGCTTTCTGTACTGATATAGGTTGTTCTTTTAGTACAGAAGCCTTTCGGAAAATCACTCGTTATCCAATGAAAACTATGATTAATCGTAATCGTGAATTTTTTTTTTAGGCATTATTGGTGTCTGATTTCGGGCCAAGGATCACCATTAAGATTGTGGAGAACTTGCGTGACGATATATTGGCGGGGAAGCTTAAATCGGGTAGTGAAATAAAGGTAACGAGTTCGCTAATTGTTTCACTCCTTTGCGTGCTATGTATTATTAATTATTTTTATTACGTTCAACGTTAAATCAAGCACTACTGGCAGAAGTAAGAAATTTATCTATCCTGCTTTTTGGAGTTCAAACTCAGTTGCATTTTGGAAAATTAGACACTGGTCACATAATTAAGAAATTTATCTTCCGTTAAATCAAGCACTAGCTGGTGCATCTCATAGCAAGAGGTAACTTGACGAATTCATGGAAATCTCTCATCCATTTGTTTAAGTCTGCTAAGAAAGACTACCTTAAAGAGAATGGAACAAATTTGAATTATGAAGGTTTTGATACTAATTTAAACGTGAGTTGAAGAAGAATTTTATGTACTGCTTTGATTATTGAAGAAGAATTTTGGATTTAATTTTTGAAGTGGTAAATTAGTTGATGACGAGCAATCTAATGAAAAAAATGCTTTAGATTTCAAGTCTGGTTTCCAATTTTATATTTTTTCTATCTGAATAGTCTGTGACGCTTGACCAACCTGTAATACATTGATCAAAATGATCCTAGGACGCGTTAAAGAAGAATGTTTTGGAGTTGTTGACAGGGAAGGGGAGCAAAACTGACCTTCAACTTGGATTCCGGTCTGCTTTTATGATTTCTGGTTTGCCCAATCTATAAGCCTAGACATGGTATCTCGAACATTGATGCTGATTCTTTTTTTATGATGGCATCAGGAAACCGGCTGTGATTATGATAGTTGGTGTTAACGGAGGTGGAAAGACAACATCTCTTGGTAAGACCTAGTGTGAACATGGTATGGGTTTTCTATTGGGTTTAAACCTCACTACTTGTGATTAAAAACTTCTCGGCAAAAGTTTCTTCTTAGTTTCGAAAGCATTTACTTTGATACACACGTGGCTTGAGAATAGTATGTTTCCTTTGAAACTTAAAAGTGTGCTGAGTATGGTTTATTACCGAAAACCCCCATTGTTTGCTGCAATTTCTTTATTACTACTCCTATAAAGCAAATTCATGAATTTAAAAAGATCTCGTGTTGCAAAAAAAATTAAATTATCTACTTCTCTGTCAATTTCTACCTTTGGATTAATTTATTTGTTTTCTTATCGCTCAATAAACCAAGAAATATATTTACAACTCCGTGTTGCAGGAAAGCTGGCTTTTAGATTGAAAAACGAAGGGGCCAAGGTGAGATGTTGCTTCTTTCTTCCCTTGGTGAATGGATGTCACTTGAAGAAGCTATTTAGTATTTATCAACATTATTCTTGAAGTAGCTTTGTACTTGGGGAAAATTAAAGGTGGCTCTTTACTGTAATATTCACTAAAAAATGACATTTTAGTTTCAGTTTAATACTTGCTTGGAATTTCATTGTCCGTGTGACCAGAGAGAGAGAGAGAGAGCAGTGGGTTTGTTCAGTCGGGAGACTCATTTTGAGGCTCTATTTTGTAGTTCCTATGTTTTGTTTACTGGAGAGGCTCTATTTTAACAATTGAGGTTCTATTATGTGATTTCTAATTTTGTTTACCAACAATTGAGGCTTTATTTTGTGATTTTTATGTTTCGTTTATAAACAATATTTTTTGGTTAGAGAGAGAGAGAGCAGTGTGGGTTTGTTTACAGTAGAGACACTCGTTTTCTATTACGGCGTTGCAGCATTATGAAATTTCTTTCCTCTTCTTTTTTTCAGAACTTTTTATTACCAAGAAGTTGGCTCTATTTTGAAATTGCTATGTTTTGTTTTATAGCTCCTTTGGGCTTGTCTGACCTTGTTTTTTTGAGTGGCATCTTCTTATTGTTTTTTCATTCTTCTAAATGAAAGATGGTTCTTACTGAAGGAACTAAAGGAAATATGGTTCTTATTAAAGGAAAAAAATCTACAAGATGGAACTGTAGTAAGGTTGCTGAACTTGGAAATACTTTCTCTGATTATAATTTTTTGTGCCAGATATTGATGGCAGCTGGTGATACATTTAGAGCAGCTGCTAGCGATCAGCTGGAAATCTGGGCAGATAGAACTGGATGTGAGATTGTTGTTGCTGAAAGAGACAATGCCAAAGCATCTTCAGGTATGCAGTAATTATAATGCTCTGTTTGTTTTTCTTGACATTGTAATTTCTGGAGAAGTTTGTATCTTATACTGTAGATGCTAACTTATCATCTTGAAGTGTTTCCCTGATAGTTCTATCACAGGCTGTAAAGAGAGGAAAAGAAGGTGGTTTTGACATTGTTTTATGTGATACATCTGGACGTAAGTACATGTCATTTAGTGGTTTACTGTAAGCATTCTTTTGCTGGGTCATCTAAATAGATGGAATTCTGGAATTTTGTTTCATTCATAGGTCTGCATACAAATTATAGTTTGATGGAAGAATTAATATCATGTAAGAAAGCTGTGGGCAAAGTTATTCCAGGGGCACCTAATGTAAGTATTACTGCTTCACTCCTTATACCTTGTTGACTTTCTCTAATTTCAAAAGTCACATTTGTAGGCATTTGTAATTTCCTGCATAACCATTCAATTTACCTTCAATATATTTATGCATGACTACCCATTATTAAGTGAAATACTGATGTTTTAACTAATCTATAAAGAAGCCTATTGTTAGAACATATATGCACTTGCCAAGACTTCAATGAGTCCAACTGCCAAGGGTTTTGTGTTTTCCTATATTTTTGGTGTAGGAATTTGCACTTTCACTCTTGCATATGCATTCAACTTATTTTGGTATCTTGGGATTGTGATGAATTTGACCTTGTCTATGGGATTTTTCTCTCTTTTCCTTAAATGCTTTCAGCTGTTAGTTGACACTGTTAAATTCAAACTTGCTTTCTAGATTAGGAAAATAATTTATTTAAAGATGACATGATTAGCGATGATGCAGATATACCCAGTTCACCGAGAATTCCATTTTCCAACTTATTTATTACTTCACGCATGCTTTTACGATGCTGCCTTCCATGACATTTATAATTCGAGGAGCTATGAAGAATTTTATGAAAGTTGGATATCTGATCATTGAATGAAATTCTTAGGCACCGTCTTCTAGACCCTTTTTATCACGTTGTACTGCATTAAGAGTTCCATTATAATTGCAGGAGATCCTGCAAGTATTGGATGGGACTACTGGTTTGAATATGCTACCACAAGCAAGGGAGTTCAATGATGTAACTTTTACTTTCCTTTTCCTTCTAGATTAATACTTTTGTATGATGAATATTGAATCATTTCTTGCCATATTGCCAATTTCTTTCGTAGATATGAGAGAGAGATGATCATCTGTATTAGAAGTTCTATACTAATTATTCTTATTTGTGCCATAATCATTCTTGATTATCCCAAAAGTAAAACTTTGCATCGCCTGCTGAGTAAAATATCTGCACGTGGATTATTATGTTCATGTGTTATATGCTAGACATTGGTTTAATTTTTTGCCTGGGGGCATGTATTTTTAAAATATAATAGCTAATGGAGTTTTTCGTCGGACTGTTTGGAATCCATAACTTAATTTACATCAAACGAGCACAGGTGTGAATGTGCATGTTACAAGCTGCTTGTAGTCGTCAGTGAGTTTCAATTGATAAGCTTGTTGGCTTCTGTAAACAGGTAGTTGGAATTACCGGTTTAATTTTGACAAAACTTGATGGTTCTGCAAGAGGTGGCTGTGTGGTATGTCATATAATTCTTAGCCAAAGGACATCTTCGAAACGAAGATTTCTGCCAACTTTCATCTGATGAAGCAATCCTTATTTTTCAGGTCAGCGTCGTCGATGAGCTTGGAATCCCTGTAAAGTTTGTTGGCGTTGGTGAGGGGTTGGAAGATCTTCAGCCTTTTGATCCAGAGGCCTTCGTTGATGCCATATTTTTATGATCTGTGTACAATATGGTCAGTATCAACATCTTCCCTCCCAATCCTTAAAAGAAGATATAAGATGGTCCCATTTATGCCGACCAATTCTGTAAATGAACAAATATAATTGTTGAAATATCTAGAAATTATTAAATTTACCCTAACTCATAAGCTTTTGGGTTCATTGGTGATTACATGTTTAAAAAATGATAACAGAGCGGGAGGTTCTATTCTATGTTCGAACTCCTATATTATCATTTCCTCCCCATTTAATATTGATCTTCATTTGTTGGGTCTTGTGCAAATTTACAAGTTCACAAATGAGGGATAGTGTTAAAGATATCTAGAAATTATTAAATTTATCCTAACCCAACGGCTTAAAGGATCTATTGGTGATTTGACATGTTTAAAAATAGTCGAGTAGCTTTCCATTTTTAAAAAGATTTTCGCTCATTTATTTATTTACTTATGTTTTCTGCTATTACAGATTTCTCCTTTGAAAATCCACCCACTTTTGCACCCCGAGAATCATCAGTGGCACATGGTGCAAATTAAGAAGTGGTTTGAACTTGAAGCAGCCTGGCATTCTATTGGGTGAGCAAGTAGAATGCTATGCTTCTCTCACATCTGGGTTTACTCGCAACATTCTCAGGTCCAGCTGAACCCTCGTAACCAAACATAAATAATTAATTGTTTAACCCATGGCATTTACAATTAATTGTTTGTTTGGATGCCATTATTTGTTTGTATCCTGGATGCTACTTTTTATTTTGTTTCCAATGTTAATGAGTGATTTCTTCAAGCCTCTTCCTTTTTGTGTTGTTTTGATATTTTATTGCATTCGTTAAATTCGATATGATTCATTGATTACTATTGCCATATTTTCCAAATTAATACAAGTATGTAATGCATTCTCCGGTGATCATCAAAACTAGAATTCAGGAGACGAAGCTGAAGAATATTGCAGATATTTGGAAGCACAGGTTTCTACAACTTTGCAATTGGCATGTTACAGAAGCTTCTACTGCAACCTCTGCCTACATCAAGGTAATTTCTACACCCAATAAGAAAATAAAGCCAAAGAAAAACACAGTATGTATCTTGCTAACATAATAGTTGGGCCACTCGAGTAAAAATGTAAGTTAGAGCCAATTGATGGTTTTTTACACCTTTTCCTGAGGATGTGAAAGAAGCTTCAGTTGTCGAGTAGGGTACCTGCTAAGGCCATTCTTTGCCCAACAAAATGATACTAAAATTTCCCCAATACTTGCTCCATATGGAATGCCCTGTGGTTATCTTTTTCGAGGGTCTTACGGGGAAGGGGGGCATTCGGGTGGCAGCCAAACCGATTGAGATCACAAAGAGCGATCTCTAGATCACAGAGGGCGATCCCCATAGCTGCTAATGGTAGTTGGCATTTCACTCTTAGTTGTGGGGTTACCATGTTTCAACTTTAATGTCCTCCTTAAGTTCACCTTATTGACTTCCAATTTCAGAGAAAAATACCTCAAACAGTGAGATATTAAGGTCTAATTGTCTAACAATTTTGTATTGTAAACTTTGCAACTTAAATTTTGGGCAAAAATTGAATCCGACATAATCGACAAATTCCACCATATTGATTTAGTTCGTCCGTGGGTTTTTGTTCCAAGTTTATAACTTGTTTAGGACAAATATTAGTTTGTTTAGTATAAATACTATAAATTATTGTAAAACTAATACTAAAAATTACAATTTTATATATACATAAAGATATAGAAAAAGTATAATAAAAATTGAAATTGTGTCCTTTTGAGGTTTTTTTTAGTACACCAGGTGAAGTGGAGTTGAAACACACAATAGATACATATATTCTTTAATCCAGAAAGCCACAAACGAAAATTTATTTTTGTCTTCCACCCTAAAATTTCTCTTCAAAATTATTGTAATGGATTATTTAGTTATATATTATGTTGTTTTCCATCCTAACTACTTAATAGTTGGCTTTAAAATATTTTTTCAAATATATTCAATTAACTATTTCTATATTTTTAAAAATAAAAATCATATATGTTTGATAATAAAATAAATATGACTACGGTATAAGGCGGGAGTCGGGGTGTTCCTTCCCATCTTGGCCCTCCAAAAAAGTAGAGTGGCTCATGAATAGGAAGCTTTCATTAAACTCGTCTGAGTTTTGCATTGATCGTGAGCAAGTTTCTTTTGAACTTGCTTGAGTTTTGCATGAATCCAAGCGAGAGCGAGTTTGCATGAATCTCAAGTAATATTCTAGTTTAATTATTTATCCATTTAATTTTGACAAACCTAAATTAATAAAAAAAATAAATGCAATATGGATTCAAGTTCGAGATTTATGATCATTTTAATTTCAACGAACCCAAAAGTCCGAAGTTAGAGTTGAATCTCAATTCAGTGATGAGAATTGAAACTAAAAAAATGAGAGGAGGGAAACCGAAAAAGAGAAGAAAATGAGAACGGGACATAATAGTCATTTCATCTTACCTGACATTTTAGAAAAGTAAGTTAGAAAAAGCGCTTTTTGGGTTATAKCTGTCAATTTCCCCATGGTATTCTATAAATATTAAAATATTACTGATTGCTACTTTCTACGAGCCCAATCAAGTATGCAATACATTCCCCTCACTTCACAAGTAGATATGCGATATGATTATTCAATCTGTACAAAAACTGAGGAGATTAAGTTGAAGAATATTGCAGAGATTCAGAATTTTCATAAGTGTAGAACCAAATATTTCTATAACTTTGCTACTGGCATGATGTAGAGGGTTGAGCGAGCAAGGTAGGCCAACTTTTTTGTCTCTTGAAGTTTGAACTCTACAGTAACTACTGTCAAATTTCTTCCACTCCTTATAATAGAAGCATCTACTACAATCTCGGCCTGCATCAATGTAATTTCAACACCCAATCAGAAAATAAAGCCATAAAACAGAACAAGTAATAATCCAGTAAAAGTGTAAATCGAGAAAAAGGTTAGATGCAGCACTATAAGTAGAAAGTAAACTGCTCGAATGCTCAAAAACTACATGCAGTACTCACTACCAAATTCCACATTGTGGGAAAATAAAACTTTCCTAGAGGAGCAAATGGAAGGTTTTTTCCATTTTCGTAAAAGTTCTCATAGAAGCGGAGAATGAAACTTTCGTTTTGTACATAATAGATAAAATTGAAAGATTACGTAACTCCAACCATGACAATCAAATTTAGAAATCAATTAAAAGAAGACAACATTGTTGCTAGATTTAATCCATATCTTGATAGAAAATAGCTTCCTTTTTTAGACTAGAGATCCTAAGTTTTTTGTAACTCTTTGTAAGCTCTCTGTAAATTCTTCTTTCATCGAGAAGAATGAGATAAAATAAAAGGATTTTTCTTAAAACATAATCACTTAACCCACCCATAACTTGAGTGAGATCTTTTTGGACCAAAAAAGATTTAAATAATAAAATAATATATATATATATATATATATATATATATATATATATATATGAAATTACTCACAACCCAATATATCAGTAAGTAGTAACTTTATCTAATCTTCAAACAGAGTCTTCATTGTTACGAACTCTCTCTTTTTGAAATGAAACATTTAATTCTTAATCTCTCTCCATTTGAAAATCTAGGATTTGAAAATTGCTATCCTCCCGCTTCATTCTCCTTCAAACTATAAGAGTGAGGTAGTTGGACATGAGCCAAGCAAACCCTTAAATCCACCTCTTCATCAACAAAAGCTAGAAGAATCTCGAGTCTCAAATCATAAGAAGACTGAATAGTATCACAACCACATATCACTCCCCACAGAACTTACGATTGTACAACATATAGAACAGATCCTATTCAAGTAAGCGGGACGATCTTGTTCAAGTAAGCTCGTCTCGCGGCATACCACTCTCCATTTATAAAACATTGTGACATAAATTCATGCAAGATCCCTCCAAAATGAAACAAACTGTCCCACTTCCATCCCCAAAACAAACAAAATCAAGCAGTAATTTAAATTTTACTCACGTTTATTGGAGCCCCTGAGAGATAAGAAATGCTCAGTTCCCCAAGAAACATTTCCTTATCTTCCGCCACCACAGTTCTAGCACAAGCAATTGATAAGAACTCAGCAGCCGCAGCAACAAATCCTCCATGTAAAGAGCCATAAATGTTCTGAAATTTCACAGAAATCTTTTGTTAAAAGTAAACGCAAACAAATCTGATGTGCTATTTTGATTTCATATGACAGATGGATCCACACGACCGAAAACTGAAAGATGCGGATAATACAAATTCTGAGAACCCAGATTTTCTCAGCAAACAAAAAGATCGCTACGACGATGAATGGTGGGTTTTTAAATTCCCATAGATAATTGTTTCAAATCAAATCAGGCACCACATTTTCTCGGCAAACAAACAGATCCTATGACGATGAATAGCGAGTTTTCAAGTTCCTACAGATGCTGTTTCGATTAAAATCACAATCAGACACCACATTTTCTCCTGAATCAAACAGGTCACTGTAATTACGAACAGTGAATTTCAAGTTCCTTAGTTTCGATTCAGGTCAGACAACACTCTTTCTAAACAAACAGATCACTGTGATGATGAATTGTGAGTTTCCAAGCTCCTATAGATGCTATTTCGATTCGAATCACAATCAGACACCAGATTTTCTCGGCAAACAAACAGGTCACTATTATTATAAACAGTGAATTTCCAAGTTTCCTTTGTTTCGATTTAGATCAGACAACATTCTTTCTAGTCAAACAAACAGGCCAATTCAACTATAAACAGCGAATTTCAAAATTTCACAAATAAATTGTTTCGATTCAGATCAGACACCAAGGTATATGCAATAGTAGAAACCGAATCCAAAATCGCTCCTCCTAAAGTCGATGCGAAAACAAATCTGGAAGAGGATTTAAGAAATTACGCAAATAGCAGGCTCGGCGGAGAGAAGGTATGTGGCACGGCCTCGCTCGAGGCGGAGCTGCCGGAGATGACGGCGACAGATGTCGGAATGGAAGTCCTTGGTGTTGCAATCGTCCGGAATTTGGTCGGAGTCTCTCAATCCATTGAGCATTAGCATAGTTCGACGTAAATCCTCCTCAGACATATCCTTAATCTGAATCGCCGGCGACGTTAAGATCAGCGAAGGAGTTTCTGAAGAAGGTTTCGCCATTGTTGTACCTCCCAGTACCATCCGCGATTTCGCACCACTTGTAGAACTGCAATACTTCAACTGATTTTTGTTTTCATTTTATCCTTTTTAAATACAGCATATGATTAAGAAAAACGGTAAATATATGTTTTAGTCCATTATTATTGTATTTTTTCAGTTTGGTCCCTAATATTTCAAGAGCTTCAATTCCATCTCGTGTATTGAATTCTTTCCTTCGAAGTCCTTATAATCACTCAATATTAAAAAAAAAAACAATATACGTATTTTAAATTTTTAATTTCTATCAATTTAATATGACTTGTGATAATAAATTTTTTTAACAAAATAAAATAATACAAAATCATGTGAAATTAGTGAATTTTTAGTTTTATAAATAGGATAATATCCATTTCATCAAATTACTACGTAAGTAATTTTAACTCAATTAATAAAGTGTATTTTGATATTACACATAATTGTGTCTATTGTTTTTTTACTTTAAGTAGCAATGAGAACTTAGATGAAAAAAAATATATATCAATGTATGTATTGAGCATGTAATAGAAAATTTTAAAATATTAGCGACTGCATTGATAAAAAATATATATTTACCCTGCAAAATCGAGTATAGCTCAAGTGGTTAATACACCTGTCTCTGATCAACTGGATAATGAAATTATTTTCCTTAAAAAAAACCTTCTAACTTTTAGAAAGATAGGTAATTAAATATAAGTATTATGGTGCAATAAAATAAATTAATGGATTTTAAGTAATTAATTATTAATTATTAGTATTTAATTCAAATTATTAACTAATTAATTATATTTATTGGATTATCTCAATCAACTAAAGTATGGTTAATGAATTATCTATAAGTAATGTAATTTTATTAGTGGAAATTAGTAAAAACAATTAATTAATTTTAATTGATAAATTTAAATAAATATCTGAATAAAAATAAATTTAGTTGAATGATAAACACCCATCGTAATCTGCAAAACTCTTTCAAATAGAAGGTAATCAATCACACACCCCTATGGATAGAAATAAAAGATGCGCATCAAAACTATAATAATTTTTATTTTTGTTGGTTTGTTTCTATTTAAAATTCAATTTTCACATAAGTCTATAGCATAATTTATCGGTGATTTCGAATTTCAATAGTAGCATAATAGAAAATAATAACATTTCATTAAAAAGAAAAAAAAAGAATTACTAAAATAGCACCAAAAGATTCACGAGACCAATTAAAACTCGACATTTAAAAAAAAAAGAAATAAATTCATATTTATTTCATGTCAGTACAATTTTTCAAAGAAAGAAAAAAGAAAAAAAAAACATAAATCATTGGGTGTATGACTTATAGTTAGTATCTATATAAGGGTATATATGGAAGAAAAAAAGAACTCTACGCTTGCATTATTGGGCCAAGCCCATATATTTGTACGATGGGCGCAGTAGAAGAGAAATGAAATAAGCCCAATCAGAAAGCCCATATATTCAAAACCCAACAAATTTCTAGGGTTTCGCTCGTAGAATCCTATAAATACCGCTTTAATCTGCAAAGAGCATTCATCTATTTGTTCGATGGTTTCTCTCTCTCCCTCCATCTCTCTCCCCGCCGTTTAAGCTCTCCGGCGCCGTTTCGCCGCCTTTGATTGGAGCATTTGTCGTTGTGTTGATGTTTTCTTCTTAGGTAGCGGGGCAAAGTATGATACGCAGGGGATGAGGAAAATTAACTGCAACAAAATGATCGAAGAATTTCGTGATTACTTTCGTATTTAAGTCTCTGATGCTCTCAAACTTTGTCCCGCCAGTTTTTCAAACAATTTTTCAGTTTTTTTTCCTTCGAATCTCATCGTCTTCTTTCTGGTCTACTCTGTTATTTTCTTTGATCTTGTTCAAGTTTGGCTGAGATATGATGAGCAACATATTGGTCCGTGTTTCTGAATAAACCGTGACTGAATTACCATATTAGCACACTCTGATCTCTCCAACTTCCATGATTCTGTTTCACTTTCCTAATCTTGATTTGAATTTTTCGACTTTTCTATCCGTTTCGCATTGCATGGTTGAACTTTGGATTCTGCATTTTCAAAGATTAGGGTAAAGCTTCAAGAAATTTGGATTTTGATTTGGATTTTTTAGAATGCATTGTTTTTGCTAACAAATCGTCGCTTTGGCCGAGTGGTTAAGGCGTGTGCCTGCTAAGTACATGGGGTTTCCCCGCGAGAGTTCGAATCTCTCAGGCGACGAAAATTGCATTTTTTTTTTCTCCTCTTTCTGATTTCTTTCATTGTAATTTCGTAATAAATTTTGATCTCAATTAGTTAAAAAGTAAATTAACTATTAATTTTAGTTTTAACCATCATTACGTGATTTTTTTAATAGTATTTTTACATTATTTAATTAGAAAACAAAATACGGTGTAGTAAGATGGTTTCTATGGTATTGTTAGAAAATTAACAGAAAATATATATCCATTGATTTCTATTGATTTTTTTACTTCTATAATTAATATAGATTTTAGGAAAATTTATAAATTAAATGAATTAAGAAATTATATTGTTTAATATGATATTATGTTTAAATGTAAGATATAAATCTATGATTTATAAAAATTATTAGAACGTAATATATAAAAATTGTATATATTATAAAATTATATTTAAATGTAATATGTAAATCTATGATTGATTAAAAGTTATACAAAACAATCTTTTTGTGTTCTTTGATCTATGACGTGAACGTGATTTTTTCTTGTAAGATGGATGTTACAAATGTGGGGCGGAAATCATGCTATAGAATTATTTTGATATCTATATGGTATCGAAGCTTATATAGTTTTCTAATCTAAAATAATGAAATAGGTTATTTATCTTTGCATATGAGTATAATTTAAAGAAAATTTAAATCTTTAAAATGTTGATTATTTAACCTTTAAAAGGGAAAAGAACTCAGAAACTTTAGTATAGAGTTTAGTGATTAGAGTACTAAAATTTCATTTATTAATTACTAAATTTAGTTATCGTAACCAATATGTTCACTTCATTTGTATTTTTGCCAATTTGATGTGTATTTTTAAAATATAAAAAAGTTAAAATTATAGAAAATATCCCATATTTGGAATTAATTTCAGTTATATTCTTGTATTTTTAAAATTTTCATTTTACAATTAAATATTTGAAACTACTTGTAAATAACCTCAACTTTTCATTAAAATGATGATAATAATGCAGATTTTAGATATTAGCAATTTTTACGGTTTTTTTAGACATGATTTCTATCTCACATTTGCAACATATACTTTATGAGAATAAAGTGTCAGAGAGCAATAATAAATGACATTTTCTTATTAGTTCAAATTGAAAATAAAATGTTATTTTTTTTTAAGAATTGTTTATGTAAAGGTTGTATGAATGTATGAAACACAACCAAGGTGAATTAGTTAACTTAAATATTTTCTTGGTGATGTACCAATTAAAATATAATATCGAAAGACAAATCAATTTATTTTTTCCCACATATTGTATTAAAAAAATATATTTATTTTAAAATTGTGACAAATAAATCTCACTATTTATTAGATTAAATATCCCACATTATTTTATGAACTAAAAAAATCAGGATCAGTTAAAAAATAATAAAGAAAAGCAACAAAATACTTTTTGTGTTAAAATTTTATTATGCGAAAACAATCCTAAATAAAGTTTCAAATGTTTGCAATATAAATAACATGATCTCAACTACAAGAATCACAAAAAAGAACAAAATTGTATAAAGTATTTAAATTAACAAATAAATCTTTCCTACTAAAAAAAATTAATAAGCATTTCACTGTTTATAAATAAATTTAAAAGGATTAGTATTAATATTATGTCTAATGATAAAAAATATATATTTTTTTAAAGTACAACATGTTGGAGGTATATACCAATTAACGCTATGCTTGATGTATCCATACAAATCCAATAATTAGATTTGAATTGAGGATTTTTTACCAACTTAGCTACCCGACCATTTCCAACACATTATTCTTATTTTAATAATAGGTSCATGTGAATTGTAAATAAGAAAAAGGTATGCCAAATGATATTTTTCATATTTTGATTTTTTTTTATAATACTAAGAAAATATTAATTTAGCTTTCATGTTAATGTTAAAATTTATACTGGTTCTAAACTTGTAACACAACATCCAACTGTCCAAGCAACGCCAAGAAAAAAGAAATTGAACTTCACAACTCAGCAGGGAACGACGTCGTCGAGGCTTTGCTTCCATTTGCAGAAATGCATCCTCCAACGGCAATTGGTCGAATATTCCCCCTCTTTTTTTGTCTCTCTCCTCTATCTCGCTTTGCTGGTTGGCGCTGGATTTCCTCTCTCCTCTCCCTCCATCCATGGCTTTTCCCTGCTTCTGCTTCTGCTCATTCTCTCCCTCCCCCTAACATAACCTCGAGATTATTGGAGAACCCATATTATCATCATCTTCGTTGATTTGAACTCCCCGATTTCATGTTTTCTTCCGTTTTCTGCTCAATATTACTGTGAACTCTGCTGACGCCCAAGTTTCAATCATCGGTATATCTCTCTCACTCTCTCATATCATCATTCATTGATAGTATATGAAATCTGCATGATTCAATGTGCATTTGGCCGGTATAAAGGAATTCTGTGTAGGAATGAGAAAACGTAATTTATGTTTAGAACAATGCACGTGGCTACGAATACGAAGATTGAATTGAATTGGAAACGGAGTTATTTGTTTTCAACTCGAAGCAATGTTTGTATCTTAGGTTATTGAAGCTAGATTGTTAGGTTTTATCTCATAATTCTTTCCTATGAAATTTAAGAGGGGAAATGTGCATAATAGATATTTGATAAAGGTTGGTCGTGAATTTGATTATTTTTAACATTTATTTGGACAAATGTGTGGCTGAAACCTAAAATATTCTAATTGAGAATCAGGTTCCTCGATTATCAGGTGTCAATAAATTTCGGAAAGAGATTACAATGATGGTCATTTTTTGTGTTCATATCTGAGAAGGGGATGGATAGGAAGCAACATATTGCAATTTTTACCACTGCCAGTCTTCCATGGATGACTGGAACTGCAGTGAACCCTCTATTTCGTGCTGCCTATCTTTCAATTGGTGGGTATAGAAGGGTCACACTGGTGGTTCCTTGGCTATCTTTAAGGGATCAGGAACTTGTATATCCCAGCAGCACAACATTCATCCTACCCTCGCAGCAGGAGAAATACATTCGGAAATGGCTAGAAGAAAGAACAGGGTCAAAGTTCAATTTCAGCCTCCAATTTTATCCCGGGAAGGTATCTGTAGCATGATTAATTCTAACCCTCATCTTAGACACGACACATGATTTTTTTTTTTTGTGTGGCCAGGCCTCGGGACTAAGTATTTTTGGCTTTTTCATTTCTGGATTCATGACGTGTGCTGCTTTCTGTTCTTGTACTCATAAGCCAACTCAATATTTCACTTGATTCATTTGCAATTATCATTCTGTGTACTTGTTTGGCCTTAAGACTGGTTATGGTCCAACAGTCCTCTTGCCTGTGTTTCTTTTCAGTTTTTCTTTGCTCGCGTTGTTTTTCACATAAGCATGAAATTCTAATTCATTCCCTATCCTGCTCTTTTTACATTTTTTGGTGTTTAACGCACTAAGGTTTCACTTAATTATGCAGTTCTCCGTGGATAAAAGGAGCATTCTCCCCGTTGGTGATATTTCAGAAATTATCCCTGATGACGAATCAGATATCGCAATCCTCGAGGAGCCTGAGCATCTAACATGGTATCATCATGGAAGGAGATGGAAAAATAAATTTAAATTGGTCATAGGAATTATACATACCAACTATTTGGAATATGTTAAACGGGAGAAGAATGGGGCACTTGAAGCTTTTCTTCTTGAATATATAAATAGATGGGTCGTTCATATCTATTGCCACAAGGTATTTGTGCTATATGTTACTTCCAATGAAATAATCCAAATTGGGTTCATTGTGATCATTTTTTCATTCTTATTCCAGTTGACTTTTTCCTAGAAAATAAGTAAGTTGAATTAATTTGTTTTCACCATCGTAACTGGATGGCTTATTCATCAATTCTTGTATAAGCTTTCAGGTGATTAGGTTATCTGCTGCCACCCAGGATTATCCAAAGTCCATTATCTGCAATGTTCATGGAGTCAATCCCAAATTCCTCGAGATAGGTACGAAGAAGATGGAACAATTACAAAATGGGGAGCAAGTTTTTGGCAAAGGTGCCTATTATATAGGGAAGATGATATGGAGCAAGGGCTACAGGGAGCTGCTTAAACTTCTTAGCGATTACCAAAAGGATTTAGCTGGGCTTGAGATTGATTTATTTGGAAACGGAGAGGATGCTGACCAAGTCCAGAAAGCTACTGAAGACCTGGAATTATCTGTTAGAGTCCACGCCGGTCGTGATCACACCGATCCTATCTTCCATGAGTATGTATAACCACTTCTAGCTATTTTCATGTCCTCTACCTAGAGGATAAAGGAATTAATCCGTTCAATCATTTGTAACAATATTCAATGTCGCTGGTGATATTATTGGAAATTTTGCTTCATGATTTGCTGACAGAAAACGAAATAAAATAAAATAAAGAAAAGCTCAAGGGAACTGTTGACTACTGCAGTATCTTACGAACTAATATTGTGGAATGTATAAAGGAACTGATTGAATCATTTATTACCTTTGATCTTTTATGGTTGATTCTTGATTTTAAAACTTTTTTTTTTAGTTTAAAACTTTAAATTGATGATAATTGCTCCAACCATTTGATTGCCTTACCCTGACTGAATATAGAGTAAAAACGACTGAACTAAAGTGGACGGGAAAAAAGCAGGATGGGGTAGGATTCTTCCTTCAAATAAATCTGACCTGATTGCTCATAAGCACTGGTTTGTGATTTGGTAGGTTTGCCTCATTACTGCTCATCTAGAAGTGATAACTTTTTTCAGCTTCCTTAATCATTGATTTTTAACAGTTATGGCTAGTGATTTACTGGAACTAACATTGTGGGGGGCATTAGAACTGTGAATTGTCTCGAAAGAAGGTCGAGGCTCAGTTTTTTTTCTCTGTTGGTCTAAATAGTGTGTCCATTGGATGGTTTTAATTTTTCTTTCTTTCTTTTTCAGTTACAAAGTCTTTCTGAATCCAAGCACCACAGACGTTGTTTGCACTACCACAGCTGAAGCATTGGCTATGGGCAAATTTGTTGTATGTGCTGATCATCCCTCAAATGAGTTCTTCAGGCAATTTCCAAACTGCATGCTCTATGACAACAGTGATGGTTTTGTTAGAGCAGTTTTCAAAGCACTGACTGAAGAGCCCGAGCAGCTGACGGATGCACAGAGGCACGAGCTCACGTGGGAGGCTGCAACAGAACGTTTCTTAAAGGCTTCTGAACTCGACCAGCCACTTATGAGGAAGCCTCAGAAAAATCGTTCGAAGAAGTTTCTATCTCTATCACTGCAACTTAGTAGAAAATTTGAAGATGCATCAGCATATATACATCATGCGACTCTTGGGTTTGAGGGGCCTCGAAGAATGTTCGGTGCCGTCCCCGGGAGCCTGTATCCAGATGAACAGCAGTGCAAAGAGCTTGGATTAGCTCCTCCTAGCAAAAGAGGTTCGAAAAAGTAATATTTTGACCATATCATTTATGATCCCATTCATAATCTTTCCGAGGATGTTAGATTTTCTATTCTAGGTGGATTGTAAATTTGAAAGATTGTCCACATCTGTCCTCCTTATTCTTACAGTCTATTGTTGTCTGAAGCTGAGACTGGTAGTTATAGAGTTTAACAGCAGGAATGATTAACCAGGATTAGAAGAGAAAATAAGATTTAGCCAAACATGAAACATGTTATCAAATACAGTAATATTTTAACAAGTTCTTGTACTTTATTGATTTATTTGTTCGTTGCTTTTTTTGGAAAAATATTATTTCTCTATCATACCATTTTTTACATATTATGAGTGTGTTTCAGTATCAATTAGTTTAGTGATTCTACAGAACTAGAAACTGCAGATGACATGTTGGGACTGTGTTCAAACATTTTCCCATGTCTGAAAATACTCAAAATAGAATGTTTCATCTTCCTAAGCCACAAAAGTTCACATATTTGCCTTGTTTTTATGTTTTGTTTCATTTAAGCTTTCTTTTAACACATTAGATAGGATCCAAAGGAAGTTGTCCAGTTGGTCTCTCTCCCCTTCCATTTGTCGAATGTGTTACGAGTCCGTTGTACGAGTCGAGGAGTCATTAGACCACCTCTTCCTTCATTGTTTCTTCTCATGGAATTGGTGGTACTGTCTTTTTCAGTTCTTTAACGCTTCGGTTTGCATCCCAAACTGCATAGATTGCTAGATTTTTTAAGGTTTGCTGTGTATGAGGTATAACAACAGAGTGAAAGTGTTGTGGAACTGTGTTTTCAAGGCTATTTTATGGTTGACAGGGAAGAAAGTAACGAACTAGTTTTTGAAAACATAAAATCACTTAAAATTGATTTTTAAGGTATGGAAAATCAATTATTCTTAAATCTCATTTTCTAAAATCATATACTAATATCTTTTCTTCCTTTTTATGTGAAAACCTAGCGCGATAGTGATAACCACAAATTTAGATGCTTTTTTTTTAATTTATTATCTTTTATTCTATATGGATTTGGGTTATAAAAGTTTATATATACATATAAATGCGGGGAAGATCTGAACTCATGATCTCTTGATTAGGAACATGTGTCAATTATCGATGAGCTCATGTCGGCTAATAAGAAAAGTTATAAAAACAAGAGTAGAGAACAAAATCTAAACATTGTTACATTGTTGGTCCGTTACTAGATGCAAGTCCTTTCATACATTCATTGTTCTCTAAGGTCAAGAAATATCTTTTCAATATATATTTTTTTAAATGTATTTTATGTTTAAATCAATATATTAGAAACATGAATAAGAAATAATATTACAATGAATCGAAATTAGGCATTTAGATCAAATCTAATCTCAACCATTCACTCATCACACACCCATATTTGGCTATCCAAATGAACAGCCTTGATTTACTCTCTCACATACACATCGAAAATAGAAAGAAAAAAGGAAAAAAAAAAACCCATCTTTCACATGATGCTCAAAAAAAGCCTTCTAATATCCAACTAAAATAACTGCCAACCAGACAAATTACAAAAACAGTTGGTTCTCATCTTTCCACTTACTAAAGCAAATATGATTAATTTGAAATGGTCAAAGAAATCACCTTATTTCCCTCAAAAAACATAGGACACTGTCCGAAATTGGAGCATCTCCAACAAGTAAATTTTAGCTTTCTGCCCATTTTGTATAGAAAAAACACTTAATCCCAACATATTATGATGTATTTAAATTTGGTTTCTTTACACACAAATCCAAAGACTTTCATTGTGTCCCATTACACCTTTTTTTTTTGTATATAATTTTGTCTGAGATCTGATCCTCAGACAACTTGATAAACATTGTATTTGTTTGTTTGTTGTTTTGGTTCTCCCCCCTTCTGTTTTTGCAGTTTCTCGTTCGTGTTTCGGGTTCGAGTCGTTCTCGTAGAAGAGGAATAAAGATGTCATTCACAGGAACTTTGGATAAATGCAAGGCTTGTGATAAGACTGTTTATGTGGTTGATTTGCTTTCCCTTGAAGGGAATCCTTACCATAAGTCCTGCTTCAAATGCAGCCACTGCAAAGGCACCCTTTCCGTATGTCTTTCTGTAACTCTATTTACGTATCGGTTTCAACAAACGACGACGAGTCGTTCGTTTGTCATACCGGATCTGACCCGAGTTGTTTACGACAGATGAGTAGCTACTCGTGGATGGACGGTGTCCTGTACTGCAAGCCTCATTTTGAGCAACTCTTCAAGGAATCTGGAAATTTCAGCAAGAATTTTCAAACTTGTAAAATACTTATTCCCATCTGATCTCTCTATTTTCTCCTTTTATGTTTTTTTCCTTTTTATTTTCTTGTCTTTCTAACATTCTATCATTTCCATAATTAATATAGCCAAGCCTTCTGAGAAGCAAAATGATCTGGTATGCTCCATCTACCCGAGACGTTCATTTTTGTATTCGTTTGATGACGATTTTATTTTTAGCATTATCCATTAAACACTAGATCTAGGTAGTGATTTAGCATTATAAGCGAGAACAGATTTCAACGTTATACTCTCGAATGCGCATTTAAAATTCCGAAATCTTTGACAGTCGAGGGCCCCTAGCAAACTCTCCTCCATGTTCTGTGGAACTCAAGACAAATGTGCGGTCTGCACAAAAACGGTTTATCCGTTGGAGAAGGTCTTTACTTCTCCTTCCTCTTTTTTGTGATTTTCATAGAATGTTACTATCAATATTCATGGATTGCAACGAGAAGAGCATCCCATCTATATTATAAACTTTCGTCGGGTTCTTTTATAACGTGAGATCTTTAATATACCCCTCAAGATGATGACTCTTTTGGACTAACTAGTCTTGGTCGGATTCTATTTTTGGCTTGGATGCTCGTTTGACCTCTCATTTTCTAAAACAGGTGACTCTTGAGGGGGAAAGCTACCACAAGACATGCTTTAGATGTGCTCATGGTGGCTGCAATTTGACCCACTCTAATGCTGCTGCTCTTGATGGAGTGTTGTACTGTAAGCACCATTTTGCTCAGCTGTTCATGGTGAAAGGAAACTACAACCATGTCCTTCAAGCTGCTGCAAACAAGAAGGCCTCCACACCGCCTCCTGAACCAGCGGACGAGGAGGCCGAGCCTCGGACGAAGGCCGAGGACAATGACGTAGAGGAGTCTTAAAGTGCAGCTTCTGCTCACTCCAACCTTTGAGAGAATCCTTGTCTTTGTGTTTTTATCTACAGTTTTCCTTTTCCCTTTTTGGCTTTCAAGTTCATTTTGTAACAAGTTTCATTACCATCTTCAGTTTTTTAAGGTAATTCAGAACATTTATTTAGTGAGAGGAGAGCTGGATAATAAAGCATACATTGCTATAATTCCCCATCACTAAAGGGAATTTTCCTTTTTCTTCAAAAATATGTTGTCTCCTTCATTTTCTTCTTTAGTATTACAATTCATTAGACGTCGGGTTTTGAATCCACGAGATTACTAATGTCTTAACCAGTAAAATTAACCACGAGATTACAATTCAAACAAACCTATTGATTTTATGCTTATTACCTTTTTCTCAAATGCCATAGGTTTAGAGGGAAAAATCATTCTCTTTTGAATGATTATGGACGAGAAAGGATTTGAACCTTTAATGGCATGTTCGTAGCTACATGTTTTAAGTTTGTCCGTCTCCCTTAGATCTTCTCCTAGGTATCCTAAAAAAAGAAAATTTCTCAAAGCTTTAGTCATTTACTATTTCAAGTTAAGAGACATTTCGAAAGATTTAATTTAATTTATTTATTTAGTTTTCAAATCTGTATAATTTATCTTTTCAAGTATATATGTAGAATATGTGTAGAATATATACCTAGTACTTATATATATATAAAAAAAATGTCTGGAATATTTGATTCTTAAAAAAAATGTGAAATATTTGAAAATATTAATATCGAAATTTGAAAAATAAAACGAAGATTGTACTAAAAAGGAAACAAGCGAGGAATGGAATATTCATTGCTTCAGAAGCGTGCAGTGCCGGTGTTTGACTCGCCGATTCCAACTACGGCCGCCCGTACTGCCGGGATTCGTTCTCCCGCCCTTCACACTTCCGTCGTGAGAGATGGCCGGCGAAGCACAAGATCAAGGCCATAGATTCTTCGTTGCAGTTCACGTTGGCGCCGGATTTCACGCACCTTCCAATGAGAAAGCCCTCAGGTCGGCCATGAAACGCGCTTGTTTGGCTGCCGCTGTAGTTCTCCGACAGGTCTGTTTCACAATCCTTTTCTAGTATCTACTCAATCATTCATATAGATTGACGCATTTTCGATTTTCACTCGTCTTCCATTAAATCCTTGGGAATTGAAACTAGGACCACCGGATTTGTAGCTTTTCCCGATTTAATTGAATGTGATAAGCGAGCCAGGTTATTTGCTCAATATGATCGTAGATACAATTTTTATTTAATGCGTTGTTGGAACGTATCGAGCTCCGGAGCAGTTCACGAGGATGACGACCACTTTCTATTCTTCTTCCTGTATAATTTTTTTATTTGAAGTTTTTATCTGTGTCTAGTTATGCTTCTTTTTTAATAATTTTCATTTGAAGTTCGTCGATATCTTCTTCTATGCATTGCTGGCTTGTATCGAATTATTGAGAAATTGACGAGGATCACGACCACTGGCTATTCTTATTTTTTAAGAATTTTTATTTGAAGTTGGTCAATATCTTCTTTGTTTCATTGTTGCCATTTATCGATTGACGGCTAAGTTCGCGTGAGGATGACGACCACTTCCTGTTCTTCTCTTCGAAAATTTTTTATTTGAAGTTCGTCAATATCTTCGTCGTTATAACCATATAAAATCCTTCTATGATTTTTGTCTTGTTTTAGGGCTCAGGCGGATGTTTAGACGCTGTTTCCGCTGCTATACAAGTTTTAGAGGTAATTTTCTCTTTCAAATGTCTTCTTCATTTTCACTTTATTTCCTTACAGTGTTTTTGTGTAATTTTACCCGTGGTAATTTATGGTTGAACATAAGAATAGCTGCTGTTCTTTGTCCTTTACGGAAATAGTCAGATTATAGGAAATGGCCGTTGTAGAATAGTTGGCCCCCTGTAGTCGGATTCGGATGACGACTAGTGTGTCCAAGTGTTTGTATCAGTGATCAGTCTTACTGGAATCGTGCTTTTTGGCAGTACCAATTCCATTTATTTCGTGGATACTGGTTCTCAAGTGTTTTCTCTGAAACGGATTAGCTGTATCAATACCTGTGAGAGGAGAGTGCTTTAATGTTTTAATATAGGGACCTGTTCTCTGGAGCTCTTAACGATTCTATTTTATCACATATGTTTGCATAATCCCAAATTTAAAGAGACGACTTATTGTAGGACGATCCAGTGACAAATGCTGGACGAGGCTCCAATTTGACCGAAGATGGCCATGTAGAATGCGATGCTAGTATTATGGATGGTGATACGGGTGCTTTTGGAGCTGTTGGAGCAGTGCCAGGTTTAACATTTTCTAATGATGGACCTATTTGTTATCACTTATCAACATTGGCTTCTGGGTTATTTTAATCTCTGTATATTATTTGTGACTGCATGGTTTTTATGCACGTTTCAATAGTACTGTACTTATACTGTTAATTTAATTGATATCTATCATATATTTTCTAGACCAGGTGTTCAAAATGCTATCCAAATTGCTGCTTTACTGGCAAAGGAACAAATGTTGGGATCGTCTCTGCTGGGCCTTATACCTCCGATGTAATTATTATTGTGAGATTGCATTGCTTCATTATCTTTCCTGGCAATGGCTCAAGCATTTTTCCTGTAACAGGATATTGTGTGTCATGCAAGTTGGTTTCAAGTCTAACATTGTTGCGGATGACTCCATTGCCATTAATATTTTGAAATTATTTTGCCTTTTTTTATTCTTCACGTTGACATTCAGCTTCAAACTTAACTGGATGAAATTTCTTCCAACTAATAGTGGAAAACAATATACTTTTTTGTTTATAGCAAGTTTGCTGTGGTATTGCTCTTGAATGTAGATTGTAGAGTATGTAGCAACTAGTATGCTGCTTCATTCTTGAATATTCTAATTTATAAAATCCAATCACCAGGAAGGTTTTGCTTGTGCAGCTTCCTAGTTGGTGAGGGTGCTCGGACATGGGCAAAGTCCAAAGGCATTTGTTTGCCAGAAACTACTGCAGAGGCTGATGAGGTTATATGAGTACCTAACTAATATCTTCTTTGATTTATCTAAGCATTCTATTGAAACTCTTTGATTATTAACTCATCAATATCTTATGTTGTTTGCGAGTCTTCTGATCTTTTGCGTTCACATATAGTGGTTGGTGACAGAAAGGGCAAAAGTTCAATGGAAAAGATACAAGTCAATGATTGAACGTGCAAAAGAAGAGAAAAAAATTTCTAATGTAACGCATTCTTGTAGTCCTCAAGACAATGCTAGAATATCAGGTTTGGGTTCTCTATTTTACATGTGATGGTATACTAAATTTATTCTATTTTGTCCATCTCTCACCTACTCCTAGAAACATTTTTGGTTTTGATTGTTCAGAAGTCCAATCACACAATCCACTGGAAGGCACCACATGCCAGTCATCAACGTTAACTGATGCAGAAAAGGATTGTACTATGGACACTGTTGGTGTTATATGTGTTGACAATGAAGGACATGTCGCATCTGGGGCCTCGAGCGGTGGCATTGCAATGAAGGTGGTTTATGACTTGCCCCTAATATTATTTGCAGAAGGTAGAAATATAACTGATTAGATAAGAAGGATTTTAACCGATTTCAACTTTTAGGTCAGTGGACGTGTGGGATTAGCAGCAATGTATGGTTCAGGCTGTTGGGCTTCCTCAAAAGGTCCATTTGGGGCTCCCTTCATGGTTGGAGGCTGTGTTTCTGGTGGAGGAGAGTATCTCATGAAAGGATTTGCAGCTAGGGAATGCTGTGTATCATTATCACTGTATGTTTGTCCACCATCCATGATTAAGTTTTCAATTCACGTGAAGTTCTCAGTGGAGTTTTAGTGCTAAGAAACACTTTACAAGTTTGAAATTTCTTTGGATATATTTATTCTATAACTGCTTCTTATCCCAAACGCTCATTCACACTGTGGATCTTTGACCTCAACCTAAATCTAGCTTTTATTCTTGATTAGGATGTTACTGTTTGCACATTAAGGAATACGCGCTTAAAAGTTGACCATGTAAAGTCGTCTGTTTATTTTTGTTTGACATAGTTTTATATGCTATACTCAGATCACAGGCTGGTCCAGCCTCTGCTTGCATGAAAGTTCTACGCAATTTTGTTCAGGAAAGCAGTCGATTTAATACTGATAAAAGTGCTGGGATTTTACTTGTCCAGGCTGACATTCATAAATCGGTGACCTACTGACCGAACACTTTCTGTAATTCTGTTATTTCATTTACCAATAGTTATCTATCCAAGCATTGTTGCCACAGGCCCCAGGAAATCCACAGAAGTTGAAAGCTGTGGAGATTGCTGCTGCTTACTCTTCCCTTTCGTTTGGAGTGGGATACTTCGCGAGCTCTATGGAACGACCCAAGGTATTTATTTAGAGTTCTCTCTGATTTAGTGATCATGTAAACTAGTTTATGAACTAAGAAGAATATTAAGGTATTTCAAAGTTGTATTATAATGTTTCTAGACATGAACAAAGTAGGAAGATCCAAGCTGAGTAACTTGAAAGGTAAGGGGTTACATGCACATTTGATCATGCTCATATTAGAGAAAGGGAAGGAAAAGTTATAGAGAGAGAAAAAGTTAAAAGAACTTTTGGAGAGAGATGTTAGAGAAAGGTTATATGGAGAGAAAACGTGAGCCGTGAGGTATGTACCTAAAGCATTAAGAAGTAAATGTGAGATTTTGAAGAACATAAACATTTTAAAAACCTTTTTTACAATGTACTTAATAAGTTCTAATACTTATTTTTTCAAAATTTAGAAACTAAAAATTGAATGGCTTAACCAGAAATAGAAAATGAGATAGTTATCCAGAGCCCTCTAAAATTCCTAGCCACGTCTACTGCCCTGCGGTTGCAGCGTTTACAGTGCCGAGATTTATTAATCTAAATGGCATGCATCTTTATGTAAGAATCTTCTATCATATTTGTGAAACTTTTGGTTGATTATTAACCTATGTTTTGTCTCAGGTGTCCATTTTGCGAAGTACAAAACAAAACGATAAGATGGGAATCGATCATTTTGAAGCACGTATCGATCTTTCAGACAATGGGAAGCTCTAATTGCATTCAAGTATTTTACTATTCTATTTCAAGATTGAGATGCAGGAATCGTGCACTCTCCATCTTCGTCACGGTCCTATTCCACACAGAAAAATGGTCACAGATGTAGAACTTCCATTCTGTTTTGTTAATTCAAGTACAATCTGAAGATGCAGATAAACGGCATTGATCGTTCAGATCAGATGCAATTCCCACGGTACGTAGCTGCTATATGATGTCTTAACTCATGTTCTCCCCAAATTTAAGGTTATTATTTAGTTGTAGCCATTGAGCATCTTCTGAAGCATGAATTTCTCCTGTGAACCAACTCGCTGGTGATTTTCTTAAGCTGTGTATAACGGCTGAATATATCGAGCATTTATTTATTATCTACATGCAAAACACCATGCAACAAAAGCACTTAGCTTCGCTCGAGATTGAAGGTTGGAATCTCCGCACCAAAAGCACTGAGCTTGGAAACTCTTTATGCAATTGAGTTATCGCTGAGATTGTGATGGTGGGGAGCCATCATCAGAGAGTATCAAAATTGAAAAAAAAATTGATGAGTTAGATCAATAGAAGGAAAGAAAGGAAAATAATTGGTAAATTCGATTTGGATAATTTGGTCAATTAAAGGTGATTTAGTTCAATTTGATGACATCAAATTTTTATTTTTCTTAAATTTCTTCTTTGTATTTTTCTTCTGAGTACAACAAGTGGGAGTAGAAAGATAGGTGTCAATTATCACTAAATTATCACTAAATTGAGTTCTTGTTCGTGTTAGCTTCTATTTATTTTAAATTGTTGATGGTTTGACGTGGATTTTGATAAACTCTACTTACCCCCATCAAGTTGTTATCATCTTGCCCATCTCTTATTTGCTGCTTAAATATCAAACAATAAAAATAAAATCGCTGCAATTTAGTTCCAACAATTGTAAATAAATTTGTTCCCAAGGAGAAAACTAATGTGAACTCAGCAGCTGGTGATTATTAAAAATGGCGGTATGGGCAATTCGATTCAGCTTGGTTTTTCGACTCGAACTTTGATCACATAATGAATCAATTAATATCTGCACTCCTAACTAGACATGGTACAATCAAGATTATCACACAAGGTTCAGTCAACATTCTTATTATATCATAAAAGAATTTACATAATAAAAATTTCTACTATATCATAAAAAAAAAGTACAAAATGATAATAATAAATTTTTTTAATTTTTTAAAAAAAGAATGGTATTTTTTAACTCAAATTTTATGTATATGTGTATATATATGAATTATTTTATTTTTAAAAGAATGTTTCATACAAAACTGATT